TCATAATATTTCCCGAGAAAATCGAATTTTCGTAACGTGCGTTCTCGAAATTTACGAAAGGAATATGGATCGACCGAATTTATTCGGAACACTGTTCTCAAGTGCTCAATGCTTAATGGCAATTTCGAGCTTTGTCGGATTCTTTTTCGATGAACATGAGATATCCACTGAGAGAAAGTTCGCACCCTTATTGCAAAAGTACTACTGTCGACCTACTTCAGACTCGTTACCAATTAATTGGATCGCCGTCTTTCTGTGCGCGACGGTGTTAATTAAGAGATTGTTACTAATCGAGCGTTCTCGTTTCAAATAAAGTCTACTAAAATTAGTAGTATTAAATTATGTAATAAATTTGCTCGCGCAAGATCTATATTATTAGTCAACAATGTGAGCAAGTATACCATTGTTTATGAATATTACAAGCATCACAGAAAATAAGAAAAGAGCCTATTGAAATTTACTTACATTTAATCAACTACATACATCCTATTATAAATACCGTTCATAAGTATTAGAATATTAATAGAAAATGAGATAAATCATAAAAGTATCAGAATAGATACACAGAAAGATAAATTTGAAAAATTCATGATTAAATTATGATTTATTATAATACTGAATTATAAATTATGAATGAGATAATTTTAATAGAAATTCTCATTAAAGCTTTCACCGTGGAATTACGAAGGATTTCCTTTTACAAATAACATGTGCCATTAAACTGTTCTCTCATCTACGTCTCTTCTCAAATCGAATCGACGAATAGAAAAAAACGAAATAGATTCAAACTTCTGTAGACTCCACTGGATTTTCTAATTAATTTCATCGGAAATTTTTCTCTACGGGATATAAATCGAAAGATTATGTTCTTCGATAATTCTTAACCTATTATCCGCTTCTCTGCGAAAGCTCCGAAGCTTTTTACATCGCCGAGTTGTACCTTGTTCCCGGCTTTCAGCGTAAAAAACTTTTTTCCTCGAAGGAAATCGGCCACCTCCCCAGTAACGGTAGAATCAAAAGTTTGTGACAATAATCAATATCATTATTTCTTATATTTCTTAATAATTAGTTGTAATAAAGTTACTCCTTTCTGTTCCTTAATTATTGTACACACGAAACGAAAAGTAATATATATATATATATATATA